CTGAGGCAGGAGACTCGCTTGAGCCCAGGAGTTGGAGGTTGCTGTGAGCTGTGATGCCATAGCACTCTACCCAGGGGGATAGCTTGAGGCTCCGTCTAAAAAAAAAAAACATCTTCCCATATTCTCATTTCTTACTGACATTGTGCAAAATGACAACTGTCTTATTTCATATCTTCATTATAATTTTTGTTCTAATTCATTCAACATATGTTGTTACTTTGCTAAAAAGATATACCATCAGTGTTCCTTATTTTTATTACTTACTATATAAAATTGGAATTCCTTTTCTTTCAGGGACTGTCACAATAAGGTCTTATCTGGTCTTTTCAACTTACTCTTGGAGAAAATTCCCGCTAATTTCCATTTGCTCTAGTTTCCTAAATGTTTCCTAAATGTAGGCTTTGTCATCACAAAGATAATTGATTGTGTGTGTTCTCCCTTTAATGTATTAAGTACTTTTTAAATCTCAAAGTTTCTCCGTGAACTATTCCTTGATTATTCCACATCATAACTACCTTCATTTTTCTAAATTTCTCTGCTACCTATTAACTACAAAACACACACACAATTACATGATTATATAATTTGATACTTGATTATACATTGTTTATTCTTAAGGATTTCTTTCCCTAAAAATAAATGTTCTTTGAATCTTTATTGCTATATAGTATTTAACATGTTAAGTATGGCTTGGTGCAGTGGCTGATGCCTGTAATCCTACCACTCTGGGAGGCCAAGGCAGGTGGATTGCTTGAGCTCAGGAGTTTAAATCAGCCTGAGCTACAGTGGGAACACGTCTCTACTAAAATAGAAAAATAGCTGCTGAGACATAAGTATCACTTGAAGTCAAGAATTTAGGTTGCTGTGAGCTATGATGACACGAAGTGATTCAACCCTAGGGCAACACAGAGAGATTCTGTCTCAAAAAAAAAAAAAAAAAAAGGTTGGGTATTCAGTATTGACTGCTTTAATTGTTCATGGAGCTACGTAGGGGAGATATCTTTTTCATCCATTTAGAAAGCATGTACTATAGCCAGGTGTTGTGGCAGGCGCCTGTAGTCCGAGTACTCAGGAGGCTGAGGCAAGGGAATCACTTGAGCCCAGGAGTTTGAGGTTGCTGTGAGCTGTGATACCACGGCACTCTACCAAGGGTGACAAAGTGAGACTCTGTTTTAAAAAAATAAAGAAAGCATGTACTGGTAATTTCATTTCAGATATATGGCCCTGTAGATTTTTTTTTTAAGAGATGAGGTCTTGCTATGATTGTTCAGGCTGGCCTTGAATTCCTAGCTCAAGTAATCCTCCTCCATAAGCCTCTCAAGTAACTGGGACAACAGGTACACACCTGTGGCCCTATAGATTTTGTTTGAAGTGGTTGGATTTTGCCAAACACCACATAACTCTGATAATATGGTGATTATGTAATAATGTAAACTTCTATGGGTTTAAACAGATAACCAATAAAATGTTTCTGTCAAATTGCAAGATTGTTAAAAACTTCTGAAAATGGTTTTTCCAGACCACAATTATGTTCAAGTTTTAAAGAAACAAATCTTAAAGTGTTGGGGGAAATATGTAAAGGATTTTTGTGATCATGGACAGTAGGATTTCCTTAAAGATTCCCTGAATACAAGTAAAAATAAGTCAAGCTAATTAATTAAAAGAACATTATAACAATAGGCTTGTGATTAGGAAAAAGTTAGGTATTCATAGGGCAATAAATATTAGGCCTGACTAAGGCTAAAGAACAAGATTTGTTAGATAATGTGGACAACCCTAAAAACGCGAATCTAGGTGATATAAAGGTGTGTTGTTTTTTTTTTTCAAGAGACAGAATCTCACTTTTTTACCCTTGGTAGAGTGCTATGGTGTCACAGCTCACAGCAACCTCCATGTCTTAGGCTAAGGCGATTCTCTTTAGTATTAGGGGTAATAGACTCAAGGAAGCAATAGATTTTTGAGCTTTAGATGTGGATAAATTATAAGACGACTAAAATCAGAAATAGCTATAAGTTTATAAAATAAATGAGGATAACATTACTTAATTAAACTATCTGGTCTTTCTGGTCTGCCATATGAAAAATTGGAGGAAATGAATGATACTGCATTGGGAAAAGATGAACCAGTCTTTTTCTGTAATCCTGAAAAAGTAAGTCAGCAACTGAAAAGAATAGTTACAATTTCTGATTGTGAGAACTTTGTCACTGAACAATTTCAAAAGAATTGATTTAGACTCGGCACCGTAGTTCAGTGGTTAGGGCACTGGCCACATACCCCTGGGGCTGGTGTGTTGGAAAAACTAGCTGAGTGTTGTGGCAGGCGCCTATATTCCCACCTACTTGGGAAGCTGAGGCAAAAGAATTGCCTAAGCCCAGGAGTTTAAGATTTCTGTGAGCTGTGATGCCATGGCACTCTACCAAGGGCAACATAGTGAGACTCTGTCTCAAAAAATAAACAAGAATTGATTTAGCAGTAGTCAGAATAGAGTAATTGAATATATTCTAACCTGTTTTAAGGTTCCTATTAGAAGTATTTTCTTAATTCTCCCTTCATAAGAGAAAATAATTCACAGGTATATAGAGGATTATAGATAGACTGTACGGTTATTTTTCTAAATATTAAAAAATTAATTGATACTTAAAGCGTTTAAGTATGTAGAGAGGGTGGTGGGTGGAACAACTGCAAGTATTTTACTATGTAATCCAGGGGCGCGTGTGTAAAACTAAAGGCAGTTTGTATACTCCAAAAGTAATCTTTCCTCTGATATTTTCCTTGAGTAAAATTTCTAATTTTTCTTGTCCATTCTACTTGTAGTTTAATGCTTTTCATAGGTTCACATCATTATCTCTGAATCTACTTATCTAACCATCAGTCCTATCACCATTCTTTGACTTATCAGTTTGTTTCACTTTCTCTATGTAGTTATCATGCAAAGTGAAAGAGGTATTAGTAATATTTACTGCTTATTTTTTCATCCTTTTCCACAACTGAAGCAGTTTTTATTAAGGTTGTGTGTTTCTTTAAATCCAGGCAAGGGTAGTTTTTTCTGAGTCTCTTTTTCTGAGTCTCATTCTGAGTCTCATATGCTAGATTATGATAAAATTCCTTTTCATAGCATATATGTGAAGGTTCACATATTGTTATTAACTATATTCTTTTCTAGAAGAAAACTGGAAAGCGGAAGACTTTTTAGTGAAATTCAAGGAACACCAAGATAAGTATTCTAGATCAGTTATATGTATCAACCATAAAAAACTGGTTAACCAGAGGAATAATTTATATGAAAAGACACTTACACTAGGCAAAAACCCTGTTAATGCAAAAAATCTACCTCCTGAATATGGCACTCATGGAAAGATTTTGAAAAATGTTTCAGAATTAATCATCAGTAATCTAAATTCTACAAGAAAGAGACTTAGTGAGTGTAATGGATATGGGAAATCACTGCTCAGTACTAAGCAAGAGACAGTTCATCCTGAAGTCAAATCCCATAGTCAAAGTGACAGGTCTTTTAGTCATAATGAAGTGCTTGTGCAGCATCCGAAAATGGAAACATCAGTACAGTCATTTGGATATAATGACTGTGAGAAATCATTCCTTAAAAGAGGTAGCTTAATTACACATTCTAGAGCTTACAGAGGGGAAAACCCATCCTTCTATAATAGAAAGAGAAGAGCAACCAATGTTGAGAAGAAACATACATGCAGTGAATGTGGGAAATCTTTTTGCAGGAAGTCAGTATTGATCCTGCATCAGGGAATTCACACAGAGGAAAAACCCTATCAATGTCATCAATGTGGAAATGCATTTAGAAGGAAGTCATATCTTATCGATCATCAAAGAACCCACACAGGAGAGAAACCCTTTGTTTGTAATGAATGTGGTAAGTCCTTCCGCCTCAAGACAGCCCTCACTGATCATCAGAGAACACATACAGGTGAGAAATCATATGAATGTCTGCAGTGTAGGAATGCCTTCAGATTGAAGTCACACCTCATTCGTCATCAGAGAACTCACACAGGAGAAAAACCGTATGTGTGTAATGACTGTGGGAAGTCCTTCCGCCAGAAGACAACACTCTCTCTACATCAGAGAATTCATACAGGGGAAAAACCTTATATTTGTAAAGAATGTGGAAAGTCCTTTCACCAGAAGGCAAACCTTACTGTACATCAAAGAACTCATACAGGGGAAAAGCCCTATATTTGTAATGAATGTGGAAAATCCTTTTCCCAGAAGACAACTCTTGCTCTTCATGAGAAAACACATAATGAGGAGAAACCCTATATTTGTAATGAGTGTGGAAAGTCCTTCCGCCAGAAGACAACTCTCGTAGCACATCAGAGAACACATACAGGGGAGAAATCTTATGAATGTCCTCACTGTGGGAAGGCCTTTAGAATGAAGTCATACCTCATTGATCATCACAGAACTCACACAGGAGAGAAACCTTATGAATGTAATGAATGTGGGAAATCATTCAGCCAGAAAACAAATCTCAATCTACATCAGAGAATTCATACAGGGGAAAAACCTTATATCTGTAATGAATGTGGCAAGTCCTTTCGCCAGAAAGCAACCCTGACTGTACATCAGAAAATACACACTGGGCAGAAATCCTATGAATGTCCTCAGTGTGGGAAAGCCTTTAGCAGGAAGTCGTATCTCATTCATCATCAAAGAACTCATACAGGAGAAAAACCATACAAATGTAATGAATGTGGGAAATGCTTCCGCCAGAAGACAAATCTCATTGTACATCAGAGAACTCACACAGGAGAGAAGCCCTATGTATGTAATGACTGTGCTAAGTCCTTCAGTTATAAGAGAAACCTCATTGTCCATCAAAGAACTCACAAGGGAGAAAACATAGAAATATAATAAATGGTGTGATTTCTTTGTGAATCCTAAGTTATTGTAAACCTTTAGTTTTAAAAAGAAAAGCATGCTTAAACATGTTAATGTCATTTTAATCGCAAATGTAATAGTTACTAAAGTACTATACCACGTAAGGATTTCCTTATGGTTTACTACCATATAAAATGGATGCTGTCGGCTCGGCGCCCGAAGCACAGTGCTTACAGCACTAGCTACATGCACCAAGACTGGCGAGTTTGAGCCTGGTCTGGGCCAGCTTAACAACAGTGACAACTGCAACAAGAAAATAGCTGGGTGTTGTGGCTGGCGCCTGTACTCTCAGCTACTTGGGAGGCTGAGACAAGAGAATTGCTTAAGCCCAAGAGTTTGAGGTTGCTGTGAGCTGTGATGCCACAACACTGTACTGCGGGCAATAGCTTGAGACTCTGTGACAAAAAAAAAAAAAAAAAGATGCTATCATTATTATAGAACTGTATCAGATATAAAGCTAACTTTTAAAGTTTTCAACTGCTCCTGCTGACTCAAATAATTTATTTTAGAAAATACATACATACCACATGCAGAGGCAAAGTACAAAATGATTATAAGCATTAGTCTCCATAAGATAAAGTATGAACTGTATTTCTCATTGCACTCTGTTTAATAAAAAGCAGCTAGTTACTACTTCCCTAAGGATTACCAAATCCCTAGCCTATGTCATAAAGTAGTTTTTGCATGTTTTTAAACTTTATATTTTTATTACACATCATGAATTCTGTGAACATTTTTAAGATTTTAGTGTACATTATTGCATGTAGCAGTAGTGTATTTTAATTTTGTATACAATTCCATTTTAAGAATATATTGCTATTTATCCTATCAATGGATATTTGTATTTTTTATAATTTTGTGTTATAATAAATAATACGGCTGTAAGTATTCTTGTTTATGTCTTTTGGGGGTAGGGTGAGTATTTCTGTTGATTTTATGCTTAGGACTAGAATTATTGAGTCCAAGGTGCATATTAGTTTCTTTAGCTGTGGCAAGTAGTGCCAAAAATCTCAGACCTTTCTCAACATGTGATGATACATTTTGGACAGAAACAGATATAACTGTAATCAATTTGGAAAGGTCTTTAGTAGTCATTCAAACTGTGAAATTCCTACTAAAAAGGAAATTTATAATTTGGTAATTATGAGGCTGCTATTTGTGGATATATGAATGCAATAAATGTAAAAAGACCTTTACCTGTCACTCAACCCTTACAAAACCAGAGAATTCATATTTGAGGGAACTCCTGTAGTTGTTTTAGGGGTATTTTAGCCATTGCTTACGTCTTACTCAACATCAAAGAATTAGAATTCATATAAGAGAAAGGGATGCTTGTAAGGGAAATAGATGAATAAAATTAGAAAGTAGTCACAGGAAAAATTGAGAAAAATAATTTCTATGAAATAAGGCTTTCATATCTTAATCTATCTCACAGGAAATAAATGTTTCTGAAAATCCCAATTAAAAAATTACTAGAGCGGCTCAGCGCCTAGAGCTCAGTGGTTAGGGCGCTGGCCATATATACCAGGGCGGGTCGGTTCCAACCCAGCTCAGGCCTGCCAAACACTAGTAACAACTATAACAAAAAAATAGCTGGGCGTTGTGGTGGGCACCTGTAGTCCCAGCTACTTGGGAGCCTGAGGCAAGAGAATCACTTAAGCCCAAGAGTTTGAGGTTACTCTGAGCTCTGACACCACAGCACTCTACCAAGGGCAACACAATGAGACTCTGTTCCCCCACCTAAAAAAAAATTTACTACAGAGATTTTGAAGTTTCAAAATTGGAAAACTGCTAAGACAGTAACTTCCACCAAATCTTTTCTGTGAGAATAGTCCACAGCTCAACAGCAATTTAAACAGTGTTTACTGAAGGCCCTTCTTGGGAAAGATTACTTATAACCAACATTTAGTACACATGAAATCATCGTATATAACAAAAGTCAGTAGGAAATTCAGTGCAATTTTTTTTAATTTTTTGATACAGAATTTCATTTTGTTGCCCTTGATAGAGTGCCATGGTATCACAGCTCACAGCAACCTCAAACTCTTTGGGCTCAAGTAATCCTCCTGCCTCAGCCTCTTATGTAGCTGGGACTATAGGCATGAGCCACCATGCCTGGCCTAAATGCAATTTTTCAAAAACATTTAGTACTCTAAGCCATACCTGAGGAAGCAGGAAGACAGTTTGTGGTTCAAGTGTCTGACATTAAAACTATTAGATAGTAGGCTGGGTGCAGTGAGATAAATGGAGATCACATGTTTACCCAATAATCACATTATTTATGGTTTGATCTCAAACATTTTGTTTCTCCTGTGAATTTAACTTCCTGGATTATATACCAAAGAGGAATCCTTCAATTTTCTCAACAACTCAGGCAACCAGACAATCATTTCCACTAAATGAAATTTAAAAAATTAAAACTAGTTTTGTGTGCAATTAAAACAGTTGACATGACTATCTGCATTTGGCCAATGACCTTACAGTAGACAGCCAAAAGGAACTATGTGGCCTCTTTGGCCCTAGTTTTCAAGCCAGCAAGCTTGTGTTATTTTTTTATAGTTGCTCTAGTAAATGAAAACACTCCTTATCCTCAAAAGACTTCAACATTGGTTTGTGAGTTTTCTCTGTCTCCAGTTCTTTTACCATTATTTACATGGAAAACTTACCCAATTGGCTGGTCCTCTTCTCACATACATTTTCACAATGACAGAGAGTAGTGATGAATATGTTTATTACACATTTAAGGTACACAGAGAAAGTTTATCAATTTAACCTATGCGATCTGATTTGAAAGCTTAAATACTATCAAACTTATTCCACTAAGATTCAAAAGGAAATTCAAGTTGACTAAACAGGATTTCTACAAGGAATACAACAAAAGGCCTTTGTGGTTTACTTTTTACATGATACATCATGCAAATTTAAATTAAAAAAATATATATAGGCCAGGCTCCGTTGCTCAGGCCTAGAATCCTAGCACTCTGGGAGGCCAAGGCGGGTGGATTGCTTCAGCCCATGAGTTCAAGACCAGCCTAAGCAAAAAGCAAGAGAGAACCCTTCTCTACTAAAAAATAGAAAAACTGAGGCAAGAGGATTGCTTGATCCCAAGAGTTGGAGGTTGCTGTGAGCTATGACGCCACATCACTCTACCCAGTGTGATAGCTTGAGACTCTTACTCAAAGAAAAAATACAGAAGTGTTAAAAAAACAAAGAAAACCCAAATCATACATAATCCCAGCTATTCAGGATTATCACTCTTAACATTTACCAACTATCCTTCCTTATATATATTTTATTTTCAATGGTATCTTATATGGTGATGGTTACGTTCATCATGTTTTGTCATTTTCCATAGCCTAATGAATTTTTGTATTTCGCTGTAAAAACATGTAAAGGCAGCTCAGCACCCGTAGCCCAGTGGTTAGGGTGACAGCCACATACACTGGGGCTGGCTGGTTCGAACCTGGCCTGGCCCTGCTCAGGATCAATGACAATTAAAACAAACAAAAAAAATACCCAGGCTGGCTTTGTGGTGGGCACGTGTAGTCCCAGCTACTTGGGAGGCTGAGGCAAGAGAATCGCTTAAGCCCAAGAGTTTGAAGTTGCTGTAAGCTGTGACCATAGCACTCTACCGAGGGCAACAAAATGAGACTCTCAAAAACAAAAGAAGAAGTAAAAACATGTAAAGGCAATGGAAAAAGTGACACAAGGGTAATAAAAAGTACGTGTCATATTGCTATCTCACCCTTTTCTATTTATGATGCTTGGCACTTTCTCTTCAGAGAGACAGACAGAATCCTGCTTGAAGATAATATTTAACCAGAAGGGATCTCATGGCTCGGCACCTGTTGCTCAGCGCTTAGGGTGCCAGACACATACACCGGGCTGGCGGGTTTGAACCTGGCCCAGGCCTGCTCAGGAACAATGACAATTAAAACAACAACAAAAAAAAGTAGCCAGGCTTTGTGGTGGGCACCTGTAGTCCCATCTACTTGGGAGGCTGAAACAAGAGAATCACTTAAGCCCAGGAGTTGGAGGTTGCTGTGAGCTGTCACACCACAGCATTCTACCTAGGGCGACGTAGTAAGCCTCTATCTGAAAACAAAACAAAACAGAGCAAACAAAAAGAAAAAAAAGAGTTCTCATAAAGGGTATTTCCTTCCATCTTACACATGACCCTATGAGAAGGCCAGGTCTGGATGATTATCCATAACTAATTGATGAGGAAACCGAGCCCATAGTAGGAAAAGCCAGATCAAGATTATAACAGAATTTAGAGCCAGCTTCCATCTCTCCAAAGGCACTTCATCTTCCATCTTTCTAAGAACTCATAAGGTATTTTAAAATGCTAGAACTGTTCATCTTTAATTGGTTTTGCTCTAACATCTGGTGAATTTCTCAAATTTTTTTAAAGTTGCTTTATGAATAGTCATAAGCAATATATGCAGGATATATTACTGAGGAACGTACAGGATTAGGATCATACATTGCTGATCAAATGAAAATTGTACTATTCTCTGAGTGACCTCTCTAGTATTATGTTTGTCTTAAAGTTTGTCGGATAATATTTAAATACAATAGCTTTCTCTTGGATGCTGTTTGCCTGCTTTTTGACTCCAACGTGTCCAAAACCAACTCTTGATTCTGTTCCCTCTCTGCTTCATAGCCTCCATCTTAATAAATGGCACCATGCTAGCTATAGGAGTTTAAAAGGTTGATGTTGTCCTTAATATCTTTCTGTCTTGCACCTCAGGAAGTAGTGATTTGCCTCCAAAATAAATCTCAAAACAGTCCGTCTGAACCCATCTTCAACACAATGTCTCTGTCCTAACTTCTATCACCTTGCTTCAGATTATTTAGCCTCTTAAATGGTTACCCTGCATCTACTCTTCAATATCCTAGTCACAGAGCATCAAGTGACATTTTCAAAATATCAGTCCTGCCCTTGATATGCTTCCAAGTTCCCTTTGGTGGATTCTCATTGCCCAAAGTATAAAAATCCAAGTCCTCTGCTACATCATATGGTCCATACCTATTTCCTACAACTACATCCCTCAGGTCTTTTTGTTTTCCTACTAGTGTCTTTTTTTTTTTCACCATAGTCTCACTCTGCCACCCTGGGGCTGAGTGCCATGGCATTGTCATATCTCATAACAACCTCAAACTCTTGGGCTCAAGTGATCCTCCTGCCTCAGCCTCGCGAGTAGCTGGGAGTTCAGTACCCACCACAAAGTCCAGCTAGTTTTTCTAATTTTATTTATTTATTTATTTATTTATTGAGATAGAGCCTCAAGTTGTCGCTCTGGGTAGAGTGCCATGGCATCACAGCTCACAGCAACCTCCAATCCTGGGCTCAAGCGAGTCTCCTGCCTCTGCCTCCCAAGTAGCTGGAACTACAGGCGCCCACCATAACACCCGGCTGTTTTTTGGTTGCAGCCATCATTGTTGTTTGGTGGGCCCTGGGCTGGATTTGAACCCACCAGCTCAGGTGTATGTGGCTGGCACCTTAGCCACTTGAGCCACAGGTGCCGAGCCAGTTTCTCTCTTTTTAGCAGACACAGTACCTTGCTTTTGCTTACGCTGGTCTGCAACTCCTGAGCTCAAGCAGTCCACCCACCTCGGCTCTCAGAATGGTAGGATTACCTGCCCAGCCTAGTGTCTCCTTTTGAAACAGTCATTACAAATGCCTTGCCCGGTTCACAAATGCAAATTTTAACCCTCCCACCACCACACACTAAAGTAGAAAAGATCTCAAACAACTGTGTTGACACTCATTATATATCTAATGTCTGAAATATAATTAATATACAAGTATGTCAAGTTTGCAAGAGCTTTCTCTCCCACCTGTTTCACTGAAATACAAGTCTAAACTTCCTTTAATCTTAACTCCCTCGCCAAGATGTGAAAATAGGCTCAGTGCCTGTAGCTCAGTGGTTGGGGCACTGGCCATACATCAGGCCTGGAGGGTTCAAACCTGGCCCAGGCCTGGTAAACAACAATGACAACTGCAACAATGAAAAATAGCCAGGCATTGAGGCCGGGGCCCCTGTAGTCTCAGCTACTTGGGAGGCTGAGGCAAGAAAATCACTTAAGCCCAAGAGTTTGAGGTTGCTGTAAGCTGAGACATAGTGAGGCTCTGTCTCAAAAAAAGAAGAAAGAAAAGAGAAAGATGTGAAAATACTGAATTACTTTTTTTTTTTTTTTTTTGAGATATAGTCTCACTTTGTCACCCTTGGTAGAATGCTATAGCATCACAGCTCACAACCACCTCAAACTCCTGGGCTCAAGCAATTCTTTTGCCTCAGCCTCCCCAGTAGCTGGGAGTATAGGCACCCACAATGCCTGGCTTTTTTTTTTTTTATAGTTGTCATGGTTAGCTGGCCTGGGCCAGGTTCAAACCTGCCAGCCCCAGTGTATGTGGCCAGTGCCCTAACCACTGAGACAGGCACCAAGCTGTGTTTAACTTTGTTACTCATCAGTGACAGATAGCAAAAATCCAAAGCAAGGCTTCCTATAAAACAAGTTTGCATACCATTATTATCCCTCAGGATCCAAAGACCACCAAGTTCCAGAACTGCTCCAACTTCACATGGATACCATAATCTACCCATACTTAACTTCCTTATATAAAATGGCATAGCATTTACATACGACCTATGCATGTTGTCCCATATACGTTGGATCTTCTCTAGATTACCTAATATAATGTAAATACTACGCAAATTGTTATGTCGTCCAAGTTTGCTTTTCCAAAACTTCTATTCTCGGCTGAAGGTTGGTTGAATTAACACCTGCAGAACCCATGGATACATTAGGCCATATTACAAAGAGAAACCCTAGTCAAACAGAGAAAGCAAAGAACAAAAAGGGGCAAGGGACTTTTTTCCTTTTTTAGAGATAAGAGTCTGGGTAGAATGCTACAGTGTCCTAGCTCACAGCAACCCCCCTTTTTTTT